TCAGCGCTTCTAAGTGGGAAATGAGGCTACAGGGCTGGGAGGGCAGAGGAGGGGCTCCTGTGTTAGGAAAATAATGCCGCTCTTCATGGAAGAAAAAGCATCCCCGGTGTGAGGCATTCAGAAAAGGTCCTTTCTCCACAGCCCGTGAGCACATCAATGGCAGGTGCTGATGGGACAGGAAGGGCGTCCAGTCCCTGGGGTTACTTCCAGAACCATCTGCATGCCTCCCACGTGGCCACAGAGTCCTCTCTCCAACTCTGCAAACCCGCCTCCCTATTTACTGACACGTCTCTGCCTGTCCAGGGGAAGACCCAGAAGGAAGCCTTCCTAGAAGTGCTCAACCTAGTAACGGCAAAGCACTGCTCAGCCTGCGTCCCATGAGCCAGACGACGTACACACGACGGGCAGCACGGCTGTTCTTTCCTCGTCCCCTCCTCTGTACACACTATGACGCAAACTCAGGCACCCGGGATTTCACGGCAGGCCGCCGTGGAGATGCTGCCAGAGACAGCCTGCACGCAAGAGTTCTGCTTTTCCCATGATGTTGCTTTAAGCCAATACTCCTGATGTGTGTGTAAATCAGCGTACAGACTCAACTATCTTCAAAACTGAAAAATCGGAAGCGGCTTCTCTACAACGTGCAAGAGGCCCTCCCATGAATTTCAGGAAGACAGGCGGCCCAGCGACGGAGCCTCTGAGACACTGTGATTCCCACCCACATATGCAGGATTCTGGCCTCGACGGTTCCCTCGTCTGCATCAGGGAGTCGTGAGTGAGGTCATGTGCTCACAGAACACAGCCTCTAGAGGTTCAAAAAATAAACCCTGTGGCTTTCTCTAGGAGATACAAAAGCAAGTGATGCCTCACGCAGTCTGCCATGGACTCTTTTGAGTCTTCACAGAACATTTTTTGGTGCTTCCATTTATACGAATAATGAAAATATATATTTTTTAAAAGATTTTATTTATTTATTTGACAGAGAGATCACAAGTAGGCAGAGAGGCAGGCAGAGAGAGAGGAAGGGAAGCAGGCTCCCCGCTGCGCACAGAGCCCGATGCGGGGCCCGATCCCAGGACCACGACCCGAGCCGAAGGCAGCGGCTTAACCCACTGAGCCACCCAGGCGCCCCAATGAAAATATATTTAAAAGAACACTTCAACGGGCACTGGGTGGCAGTTTCAGTTCAGCCTCTGCCTTCGGCTCAGATCACGATCTCAGGGTCCTGGGATCGAGTCCTTCTTCGGGCTCCCTGCTCAGCCAGGAGTCTGCTTCTCCCTCTGCCCTCTTCATGTGTGCTCGCTCTCTTGCTTACTCTCTCTCAAATAAATAAAATCTTTTTTTTTTAAAGATTTTACTTATTTATTTGACAGACGGAGATCATAAGCAGGCAGAGAGAGAGGGGAAGCAGGCTCCCCGCCAAGCAGAGAGCCCGATGTGGGGCTCAATCCCAGGACCCTGAGATCATGACCTGAGCCGAAGGCAGAGGCTTAGCCCACTGAGCCACCCAGGCTCCCCTCAAATAAATAAAATCTTTAAAGAAAGCTTAAATATTATGAACCTAAGTATTAGATGAGAGTGCAACAATCCTCCTATTTATGTCAGCGAATGTAGGAAGTTGGGTTTTTTTAAAGACTTCATTGATCTGACAGAGAGAGAGAGCAAGCACCAGCAGAGGAAGAGGGAGAAGCAGGCTCCCCACCGAGCAGAGAGCCTGATGTAGGACTGGATCCCAGGACTCTGGGATCATGACCCAAACCAAAGGCAGACGCGTCACCGAATGAGCCACCCAGGTGTGCCCAGACTGGTCCGATTAAATGCACCAGGTACACTACGGACAGCAACAGGGAGCAGGCTTTGCCAGTCTTGGTACTGCTGACACTCGGGACATCTGAATGCCCAGTGGTCGGGCACCTTATGCGCTGTAGGGTGCTAAGCAGCATCCCTGGCCTCTGCCCACCACAGTCAGCAGCACCCGTCCCTTGACAACGGGTCTTCAGACAGGGCCGAATGTCCCCTGGGCAGGGGTGAGGCCGTGCTCTGACAGAGAACCCTTAGGGCTGATACATGGGTCCAGGACCACACCTCATGACAGAGCCCAGCAGCCCCCAAATTCCTAGAAGTCGCAGGTCCCTGAAGATCCGCAGGACCTTTGCTATGACCGCGGTACGGACTCAGTCTTCACCACAGCATGGGCCTCACAGAGCTGTACCTCCGGATGCCCGAGTCACAAAGCAGACGTGAGAAGAGGCAGAAACAAACCGGCTGTGCTCCTCGAGGTAGGAGTCAGCAGACTGGGGCCTGGGGCCAAATCCCACCTGTTGCTCCCCCTTGTCAGGCCTGTGAGCTAGGACTAGTTTTTACATTTCTAAACTGTTGATAAAAAAAAATCAAAAGATTCCTGTGTTGTGACTCATGAAATTGAGCTGACGTTCAAATTCCAGTGTCCGTAAATCGCGAAGCTGTACTGACACTCACCCCCGGCTATTCATTCCCCTGCGCTCGACGGCGGTTCCTACACCACAGCGGCAGAGCCGAGCAGCCGTGAACAGCGCCCGGCTGGCCCACCAGGCCTCAACTACTTCCCCTCCGGCCCTTGGCAGAAAAGGCCACCCTCGATCTGGCTTCTCAGCTCTACTGAAAAGGTTCCTGTCTACACTGTGGTCTACACCGGACGACAAGCGCCTGCTTTGTCCGTTCGGGGCTTGAAAGTGGCCGCCTGCGGACCCGCAGGGGATGCCCCACAACACAGAAGCTCCTCAGGAACAAACCACCCGTGTTAGCAGTGAGAGCCGGGAACACCACCGCCATGGTCTGCTGTGGCTCCCGAAACACCAAAAAATCCGAAGTCATCCTTTTAGGGATGCCTCACGCACGCTCAACACCAGGGCCTCACGCACGGGAGGAATTCCACGTACACTCCATTCGATGGAACCCTAAGTGCGTTCCCTAAGCACGCAGTTCGCTCCCAGTCAAGACGCCGGTAACCGACAGACCTCTGCCATCTCCCCTGACGTTCGGAAGACGGTTCGACCACAGTTCCAAAACCACCGACTGATGGAAAGTCTGGCGGTTCATCGAAATGTTAAATAGGGTCACCATACGACCTATTAATTCTACTCCGTGACATGCACCCAAGAGAAATGGAGACCCGTGTCTGCACAGAAACTTGCACACAGATCTTCAGAACAGCAGGAATACGAATAATGAGGACTCCTAATAACTGCAAGGAACTACAACTCAAATGCCCATCGGCTGGCGAAGAGACCGACAAAACGTGGTGGAACCACACAATGAAATATTATTAGGCCATGAAAAAGATTCACGGTGCAAGAAGGATGAATCCTGAACATATTACGTTAAAGGTAGTCACAAACTCAACATAATTAACATTTTACAAATTTTTATTTATTATTTATTTATTTATTTATTTTTTTAGCAAACTACATTTTTCAAATATTTACTTTAAAGATTTCACTTATTTACTTGACAGAGAGAGAGAGACACAGGGAAAGAGCACAAGAAGGGGGGGCAGCAGACGTCCCCCTAAGCACAGAGCCCAACTCAAGTCTTAATCCCAGAACCCTGAGATCATGACCTGAGCCCAATGCAGACGCCCGACTGACTGAGCCACCCAAATGCCCTTATTCTTCAAATATTTAAGTAAAATATCAAGATTCTTATACATCTACTTTGTTATTTTTACATGCTTGGGTCTTGGGAGGGGGGCAGACAGAGAATCTTCAGTTAGGCTCCACACGCAGTGCAGGGCTCGATCTCACAGACCTGAGATCATGACCTGAGCCAAAAGCAAGAGTCCGATGCTTGACTGACTGAGCCACCCGGGTGCGCCTGTACATACTTGGTTCTAAACAAAAATACCTCAATAAGATTCTTCCTGTAGTTAGACTGAGGACCGTCACTTTAGTTCTGATTGAAGTTTTTAAAGCAATAAGCAAAATTCTTCCCCAGATTTCCAGCTTTATGTTTTTAAAATTATGAATGTTTCTGTGGGTTTTTTTTTTTTTTTTTTTTTTTAAATTAAAGACAAAAATAGGAAACAAACTGAGGGTGCTGGAGGGGAGGTGGGTAGGGTCGTGGGGTAACTGAGTGATGGACATTAAGGAGGGCATGTGATGGAACGAGCACGGGTGTTATGTAAGACTGATGAATCACCAACCTACACCTCTGAAACCAGTAATACTTCATACGGTAATTAACCGAATTAAAATTAAAAAAAGAAGGCAACCAAATTGATAAAGAAAATGGAAATACAAACCGCAAACAGTACGGGAAATACAAAAAGGAACAATAAAATCGAACCCTAAAATCCCATCTACCAAAAGACAGCAACTGTTCCAGAACTGGCCGTCAGTTTCAGCTTGGCATCTGGGGTTCAACTCTTGGAACCCGTCTGATTTGTTCTTCTGGAAACTTTATCATCTCCTAGATCTGTAAGTACTGATCTATAGGTTGCTCTAGTAAGTTTCAAGGTTAACTACAAATCAGTTTGCAGATACACACAAACTGTGTCAAGAAACTCATAAAGTCCAGGGGCACCTGGCTGGCTTAGCCAGCAGAGCATGCAGTTCTTGCTATCAGGGCTGTAAGTTCGAGCCCCATGTTGCAAAAGGAGATTACTTAAAAAAAAAAAAAAAAAAAAAAAAAATCTTTAAAAGAAAAAAAAACCTAGACTGGGTTTTAGAAGGTGTCATCCTCTCCTGGTAAGACCCAAAAAAAGTTTGTAGTAGCTGGTTCAGTACCCAAAATTCTTGGAAGGCAGTAAAAGGCAAGTTCATCATTTAGAGTTAACTATATATAAGCCCACAATGATTTCCCGGTATTCTATCTACTACCTGCAGCTTCAGCAAGGACACAGACGTGCAACTTGAAAAAAAAGTCCCTTTAAAACAGAAGATGTTCAGTGTGGGGAAAATGCACTGCCACTTCTCCAAAGGATTTCAGGTCAAGGACAAGTATGCCACAGTGAGTGGGTTGCTTACCTTTATGGTGACTTCATGTGTAGACCTCTGGACCAGTGAGCTCCCCAGCATCCGCTCGTATAAACTCCAAAGTGTCTGCCAGGAGCTGCCTGGTGAGAACCAAGGAGAGATGAAGAAAAAACTTGAAATTCTTTGCAGAGGATTCACCTCTGGCCTCTCCCACTTTGTGGTTTATCCTTTTTCCAAGCGTGGCACTGGTTCCCTTTTCCATCTCAACACAAACTTTTATGCCACATTCTCTGTCTTACACTTGCACACGGATATGCAAACTGAAAGACGAGAAACGGAAGCGGCCAGTCCGTATTATCGCACGTGCAGAAATCCCAAGAGTCTCAAAGCAAATAAAATTAATTTTAGTTCAGATATTGCTGCTGCCGTCCTTTAATGATAATCAATGACTGACCGACATGCTCTTGTCTTGGGGACTGTGTCTTACGCAACCAAGAAACTAGACTATACACACCTCTGAGAGAAGAAAACATGCTTTAAGGAAGCTTTACAGACATCACTTAGACGAACGTTTACAAGAGCCTTGCATGCAAGTACACGTGTATCGCTATGCCCTTACAAACACAGAGACACGACATTAGAATCTTTTTTCCCCTTTTGGGTTCCCGAAAATAAAGCCAAAGAAAGGCCCGGACTCACTCTGGCTCAACCTATCCATTACTGCTATCATACATCGCATTTCACAAGCGTTCCACCATTCGCACTTCTGAACAAGTCAGGTTTGTAAGCTCCCAAGTTAACCTTCGTATCGAAAACACGTTTCTATTTTTCGGTCAATATAAACACTGAGCAATCAAACCAGCATTGACTGAACAGTGTCAACCTTCTTCCTCATAAAATTCTCTTGGTTATGAATGAATCCAGCCTCCCACATTTAAATTATCTACAGGCTCAAACTCTAAGGAAATCAACTGCTTGCCATCTTCTCTTAAATTCTTGTTCAATCTAAGTGATAAAAAGGAACCAGGGTTAAGAGAATTCAAATTCACCAGTGAAGCTTATGAGTAAAGGTGTTTCTTATTATTAAACACAGAACGTCATGAAATGTTTTAAGGAAATTCAAGTAAATTATTCCCAATGAGTCATTTTTATAGCTACGCTGTGCAAAGAAAGGCAGCTAAAAAAATTTTACAGATGGGTTCTCACAGGCCCTTAAGTTTCATTACAGTACATTTTTCTAAAAACACCATAAGGATGTGTAAGATAAAAGTAATAAACAGGGCAACTTTTAAAAATCTAGCACTGAAGAAAAATAATACGATTCAAACAAAACTTCCCTACAGGGCGCCTGGGTGGCTCAGTTGGTTGAGCGACTGCCTTTGGCTCAGGTCGTGATCCCGGACTTCCAGGATCCAGTCCCGCATCGGGCTCCCAGCTCCTTGGGGAGTCTGCTTCTCCCTCTGACCTTCTCCTCTCTCATGCTCTCTCTCACTCATTCTCCCTCAAATAAATCAATAAAATCTTTAAAACAACAACAACAACAACAACAAAAAACTTCCCTACAAGTCTTTCAGTAGAAATTACTCACCAGAGTGAAGCAGGCATAAAGGAATATTAAATTTGCTCATAGAATAAAAACACATTTCGAAATGAAAAAATTTCTGTGGTAGAGATAAAGTAAGACAATACTCCTTATAGGACCTGAAGAAGAAAGCAGATTACTGTTTTCAGGATTGAGGTGTAAATTACCACAGGGGGGAAAAAATAGCCTTATAATGAAATCACTAAATACCACAAAGTATCAAAATAGGAGCAGATGTCACCACAATAAGCCCCAAATTGCTTGGAAATTAAAACACTAAAATCCATAATAATTCAATAAGTAATTAATATATAAACAGCTCTTGTTACAAGCTGTTCAGCAAAACCTTTAGAATCAAATTCTTATTCTTTGGTCCAAAACAGATGGTAACTCACAAATGAGAGTCTTGGAATGGAAGATCATCTTTTACATATGTTGTTAAACTCCGTAAGCGTAATTAACATCATCTGCGTGTTGTAAACACACAAAAACGGGAAAGTAGGACTGGTTAGCGACGTTCTTCTGCTTATGCAACATGTCAGAATTAATTAGTTTACTGATAGAAACAATAAATTAAAAATGATAAATATGTTCTTCTAATACCTAAATTGTCCCTGATTCTCCCATGATCAGGGCCCAGGCAGAACCACCACCAAGGCGCAGTACGGGCAAAAAGGTTCACATCCGGCAAAGTGTTGGTGTGAAGTGCCAACTATTTTAACAAACACAACATATCCTGTATCCTCAAAGGCGGTCACACACATAAAAAGGACTGCACCATCTTCGGGCTGCTCCTCGGTTCCAGGCAAGGCACGGGGCAGACCTATCCAGGCAGTCCTTCCGCGTGGGAGGTACAGAGCCCTTAGAACTCTGCCATGTTGTGCAAACATCCACTCCTCAGGCCCCAAAACATTTCCATCACTCCCAAAGGAAACCGTGTACCCAATTAGGCAGTCCCTGCTCATTCCCTCTCCCAGCCCTGGCAACTACCAGTCCACTCTGTCTCTTTGGATCGGCCTATTCTCAACGTGTCACATCAGTGCAAACACACAATACCTTCTGTGTCTGGCTCCTTTCTCTGAGCAAAAGGCTCCCGAGGGTCAGCCGCGAGGAGGCGTGTGTCCGCACTCCGTTCCTCGTCGCGGCCGACGACTACTCTACCGCGGGGTGGGCTACACTTGCCTCATCCACCCGCCCATCGGATGCCGGGCATTCCGGCAGGCCTTCACTTTCCGGCTATCGTGATTACTGCTGCCACGAATATTCGGGCACAGGCATGTGTTTGAGCCCCAGTTTTCCATCCCGTGGGGCATGCGCCCTTGGAGGGGAACTGCCCTTATCACTTTGCCTTGATCCTCCTCTGTGGAAGCCTCCAGCTCTGCAGGACCGACCGACGCAAACGGGACGGCCACAGAGGGCCGCGCAGCCAACGGACGTACCGGAGGGAGCCAGGGAAGCCCGGGGCCTCTGCGCTTCCGCCGGCAAACGGCGGACGGCTAGAGCTCTGCACGGCAAGCGCCAAGATGAAGAATGCTCTCTCTGCTTGCGGCAAAGCAAGCTACCCTCCCACGCAGGCGCTCCTCAAGCGCATCAGGCAACCGGGGAAACTGGACCGGCTTTGCTTTGCCCCTGCCCCCCTTTCCCCCCTCCCCAGTTTAGCACCAAGTTCTGAGGTCACGGCTGCTCACGTTTCCACTCAGATTCATCAGCGACACTTGAGTTTGACAACGGTTGTCAGGGACCTTCTCAGATGCAATACCGAAATCGGATATCGATCCATGCACATGACACCTCACAAAAGCATGCGAGTATCACAGCGCACCCACATCCGAACACAGTCGTGTCTACCAGGGCCCCCGGTGCCTGCACCCCAGGATACAGCAGGCACGTTCTGGAGACACCGTCAGCTGTCACACCTGGAGAAGGGGGTCCAACGGCAACGAGTGGAGAGAGACCGGGGAGGCCACGCAACATCCTCCACCTCACAGGACAGTCTCCCCACAAGAAAGACTGATTCGCCCAAAAACGGCAATAACGCTACACGGCTGAGAAACTTTACTAGAACAGGTTTTAGACTAAGGTCCTCTCCTCATGACTTCTGATTTTTACTGTGAAATATCAGAAGGTGAAATAACGCTGTCGCGCAGGTCTTAGACTCGGAAGGCAGCGCCTGGGGGTGCTTCCGCCCACTGCCCGAAAGCTTCCTCCGTCACTGCCCAAATTTTCAACACAAATAACCCACGTGGATCTCTAGGTCAAGGGGACAAACATACCCTTTTACCGGTCATAAATTAAATGCATAGCATACAAATATTAATGCTATTTCTTGGGGGCCTGCAATCCAATATGCTCCCTAACGTTTTTTTTTTTTTTTTCCTCTGCCTACGGAGAAGCCAGCAGGGCGCGGGACGGAGGCCTCCTCCAGACAGCCGGCGCCACCTCCCAGCCACGTGAGGCGGCCAGCGCGGCCGCAGGCCATCCAGCCCCGGTCAAACTGTCGGATGACGGCAGCCCCGGCTGAGCTCTTGGCCGCCGTCTCAGAGCGGCCCCGGCCAGAAGCACGCCGCTGAGTCGCGCCGGCACTCCTCCCGCTCTGAATCCAACAGCTGCGGAAGGGCCGCCGGGAAAGACACGTGGGGGCAGAGCCCCCTCCAGCAGGCGCTTCCGCTAGCCACCGACGGCACATGGGGGCGCGCACGGCTGCCTCCAGGAAAACCAAGCACCAGATGAACTGGGAAGCCAGGCGGCCCGAGGTGTGGGGCAAGTAAGCAAGAGTTTGCCAAAGCGGGCTCCTCAGAACGAGGCGGTCTCGGTGGCTGGCTCGCGTTTGGTCGGCACTACCTGAAGAACGGTTCCACGGTCCCAGAGGACTGGAAACACTGGGTTTTGTGAAGCTATTAAAAAGCAACAATACGGGCGCCTGGGTGGCTCCGTGGGTTACGCCTCTGCCTTCAGCTCAGGTCATGATCTCGGGGTCCTGGGATCGAGCCCCGCATCGGGCTCTCTGCTCAGCAAGGAGCCTGCTTCCTCCTCTCTCTTGGCCTGCCTCTCTGCCTCCTTGTGATCTCTGTCAGATAAATAAATAGCATCTTAAAATAAAAATCCAACAATCGTAAAAACAAGCAAAACAATAGCGCTTAACACGAAACTGTACCTACTGTCTGCCCAAGTTGTTCGACATGCTTGAAACTCATGCCATCCTTTATGAAATAATGAAAGAAGCCTGCCTCCCCGGACCTCATGCCGCATTCTCACTGCTGTACCCCAGGCCCCGCCAACAACCATGTCACGCCAGGCGATCACACACAGTACGTCGCAATCCTGGTGCCAGGACCTGCTCACCGCTGGGAGCCACGGGCAGCAGGAATTCTGCGAGACACCTTCTTCATCGAGCCGCACTTCTAGCGGGTCCTCCAGGGACCCTGGCGTCCCATGGGTGAGGACGCCTCACGGTCACTATGCCGTGGTTTGCCTGACACTCCCCAAGTCCTCTCTGAATGGCTTTGAAACACTGTGTTGAAATTCAAAAGACAATTTTCTGATTGACTGAACACATCA